GAGTGAGTGAGTGAGTGAGTGAGTGAGAATAATGGACCACCGCTAATTACAGTAATAATGGTCCCCCTTAAAGTGACGGAACTTTTAATTATTTGCTTNAGTGAGTGAGTGAGTGAGTGAGTGAGTGAGTGAGTGAGTGAGTGAGTGAGTGAGTGAGTGAGTGAGTGAGTGAGTGAGTGAGTGAGTGAGTGAGGGAGGGAGAGAAAGAGAATAAAATAGAACTTGAGTTTTCGGTGAATTATGTATGACAGGTATCCACCATCTGTCGCAGTAACTTCGAAATATTTCACGACGCAGCTTTTTACTGCGTCAAAAAGACTTTGCTTTTTTATTCATTTAATTATGATAATAACAACAACAATAAAAAATTAATTTTTCTTTTTAAATTTTCATTTAAAATACTCGTATCCTAAATGAACGAATAATAATGTCTAGCAATGAATTTCGATTGGTACGTTCGATTGATGAATTAATTGATTCGATGAACGGATACTTTTATTTTTCTTCGGTTCGATCTCTCGTTTGTCTTGTCGTTACTTTTTTTCCCTCAATCCTCCCTGGCTCGCTTCAACGCTTCTTTCAGTCCCTTCCCGATCATTCTCTCCCCGCACACTCCCCTTTTACACTTCTTTCTTCGTTGCGAAAGGGGAAAGAAAGATAAAACAAAAATCGACCGTGTCACCGTTAGCATGAACCGGTCTGTTCGGGTTTCATTCGAGATACCAAAGTACAGCATCTTCTCGAGACCGACGCTCTTAAAGGCATCAATTTGCGAAGGACAAGTGTGTGACGGTGACAAATTGCTTGGATCGTACTTGGAGATTGCTGTCCGTGAACCGAGTTGTTAGCCGATCCTTGCTGAAAAACCTGTTCTATCCTACGGGAAAATGAATTCTTATTTTTTTTTTCTTTTTCTTTTTTTGCTTTTATCGATTCCTTCACTATCACCATCTTCTTACTTATTTTCCTTCTTCTTATCTATCTTCTTTCAATTTCTTTTTCTGGGGAAAATTTTGATATCCAAATTGACGAACCCGTTATCTCTGTGTGTCATTAAAATAAGTCGCCAAGCAGTTTCCGTGCAAACTCAGGAATTTACTTTTAGCTTTTTGTCCTCGTCTCTTAGGGTCTTTTTCTTTTTTCTCTCTCAGGAAGAGAAAAGGGGTTGATCTTTTCTTTTTTTTTTCCCCCGTTATAAGGGCGAACGCCTGTATGGAATAAGTTTCGCGTGCCTGGAGGCTATGGCGATAAAAATTCACCCACTCGGTGTACTTCTTCTTTGTTCTTAAGGCACAAGCTGTGCGAGGGAAAGAGAGAGAGAGAGAGAGTGAGCGAACGAGAGAAAGAAAAAGAATGAGTGAATAGGTGCGGGAAAAGCGGTGGAAGGCGGGGTAGGGGAGGAGGTTTAAGGAGAAATTCCAAGGGGATTTAGGGAAACGCGAAAGTTTGTTCGGGCAATGCGCCATTAAATTAAATTACAGGAAAATGGCTGGTACGAATTTTCCAGCCGCCGGTGCCACCGTGCCATGTCGATGTCTGTAAAGTAAGACAAAAAATTGTGACATAACACGTATATAATATTATATATAATACGTATCGTTATCATCCATTATCCATATATAACTTACGACACATTATAATAATTTATTGATTGACAAATTAATCGACGGAAACTTAAAGATTTAATATCGTGATCTCCTTTTTCCTAGCTCGTAAATAGTATCTTGAACGATGGTACACTCAAAGGATATAAATTCTAACCGTAGAAATAATCCATGAACCAGCTGGAAAATCAAAGATTCAAGGAATGGAGGAGGTTAGCATTCTGTTTATACGACCATAAATCGTGGTTTCTGTACTTGAAGGCTTAGATATCCTGCAAAAGTATTAACAAAGCAAAGCAAGGCAAGGCAGGGCAAAGCAAAGCAAAGCAAAGCGTAGGATATCATTAGGGTAGATTTAAAAGTACATAAAAGGAGTATAAATTGTCTTATATGTGCACACATACACATTGTTATAATAATATATATACACGTATATACGCTCGACTTTTTTGCCAAAAAAACAAATCGATAAATGTATATTTCTTTTCTTCTCTCTTTCCTCCTCCGTTTTTTCCTCTTCTACTGGGTTAACGACTCGAACGATTTCACACGATTTAGAAATCCCTTCTATTCTGTTCCTTTCTCGAATGGTGGCTATTCTTTTTAGCATTAGTGTTATTCTTCCTCGTCGGCCGACTAGGATTACCAGAGTAAGAAGAAAGTAGCGTCGTATTTTACGGAGTCCTCTTTCCTTCCTTCCTTCCTTCCTTCCTTCCTTCCTTCCTTCTCAATGGGCCCACCACCCCTCATTTTCTGTTACCACTCCCCTTTATACTTGCTAGCAACCACTTGCTTGTATTACGAAGCTCGGTCCTATTACTTACCAGTACATTAACATAGTACATCGTTAGCATTCCCTCGGATCTCGCGTTTGCAGTTCGGTGAGTCCGAGAAAATCGCAGTTTATATCTTTGCCTCTCGTATTTTGCTTCGTCGCATCGAGAGAAAGGCTACGTTCCAAGAGAAACGGAAGTAAGAAGAAACGCTGGGGAAGGAGATTGGCTTGCTACGTTGGATTATCCGCGGGGGTTGATCGAAACAACGAAGCTCTCTCTCTCTCTCTCTCACTTTTTTTCTTATTTTCATCTTCTTTCTACGATTTTATTTTATTTTGCTTTTACTTTTCTTCAGTCTAAAAAAGCTTTATAAGCTACTCTACTATTATTATTACTACTACTACTACTACTACTACTACTATTTCCGGTATCTTTTTAAACGATTTTCGTATACGTAAATACTTGTTTTAATTTTTTTTTCTTTTCTAGATTTGAAAACAAAACGTCTATGTAGTAGGTATGATTAAGAAAAGCTGCTAATAGTAGGAAAAGATAATCGATGAAAGGAAAACGATACTATTTCTATTATTTTGTTTCTTTTTCTTTTTTTTTATTCGTTCTATTTATTTCCTTCGGTGTATTATTCGAACAAGTGATTTTTAAAGTATAAAGATGAAAGATAAAAAGAGGTTAAAATATATACAAAAAGATATCATGAATTTGTCATTTCAATTCCACGAGTTTCTATCGATTACTCCTTCCCATTCTTACTTGTTATTGCAAAAAGGAAATATTACGGTGATATAGAGAGAAAGATAATACAAAGAGGAAGAAGGAAGAAGAAGTTTGTATTTTTAGATTATTAATCGTAGCTCGTTTACTGTTATCCTTCTCTCTACAACGCTTATAGTACAGTAACAGAAAGCTTCGCCTTTTCTTTTTTTATTCCTTTTTTTTTTTTCACCAACGCGACAAGATAAACAAGGATTTTTTCCCCGACCGTCTTTCAAGAGTAAATAAAGTAGCTTTTAGAAAAAGTCAACTTATGTATATATATATGTGTGTGTATATATACATTTATATATTTATTTATGTACGTTGAATCTCTACTCGAGACAAGTAAATATTTCCGATGTGAATTTAACAGAAATAGTACTTACTATTTTTGTCAAGTTATTTTATTCTTATTAATATACTTTATCAAAAGTACTTTACTTTACTTACCAACTGTACATTATGAATATTTCATATTAAATATATTAACGTCTCTATCGTTTCCGTTCAACGGTTAGTTTTTAATGAAAAATTCATTTATGTACTCCCCAACGATTTTCTTCCTTTTTTCCTTTCGCAAATTACTGTACCTGAGATATCGCGAGAGGTAGCCACGTTTATCGTCCTTGCGTGTTACTAAAATCTGAAGAGATCTGACTGATAATATGACGGCTCGTTTCAATCCTATTTGCATCCAAGTCCTACTATTCGAAAGAAGCCTTCTTAGAACTAGATTGAATTTAAACATTTCGTTTATCTATACTTATGTACATATAAATAAGTACACATGTACCGTTGCTCATTTATCTTATAATACATGGAGATGTATAATTTGATAGCCGTGATAATGAACACGTAGATCTGATATAATTTAGAAAAATATTAAAAATAATATATCTTAAGAAATAACTTTTTCACATTACTTTATAGCAACTTTTCGAAATAAAATATATATAGTACATTAAAAAAAGAAATATTTTCTGAATTAATTAGAAACTGCAAACTGCACTTTGACAGCATAAAACTCGCCTTTCTTTTTTTTTTTCTTATTATATATTTAATTAATGTATAGAATGTGGAGAAGGACAGACCTTATATGTAAAAATAAGTCGATAAAAAAATGGAGGATAAAACATTTTTGTTGGTCGTGGTCTCGTATTTGAAAAAAATCGCGTATGCAAATTTCTTATGTAAATAATCTTTTCAATAATTTATCAATTACAAATATGGTCTTTCGTTAACATGTTTGTATTCTCACAGTCCTCTGTGTGTTATGTTTACATATTGGCTTCAGCCGCGCGACTTATATCATTTAAATACGTTCAGTTTGTTTCTATCCGTCGACCATGCGCGGTCCTGTAATGTGATCGTCGAATTTATTGAATAAAAGTTAAGTGCGAATCTTTTCAACGATTGTCAAAAATCTTACGACAAAAAAAAAGGTATTTTAATTAAGAATCTTTTTAACGTTATTTCCTTGTAAACGTACCTCTTTTTTTTCCTTCAAAATACTCAAAATGTTCCTCTTTCTTCAAACTTATTTCACGTGAAAATTACATAATTTATTATTAGATCTTATTAATAATATCAATTAATGGGAAAATAGTCGCACTAATAATAAACTATACCTACAATACACTTAAGCTAAAAGTATTCAACACTCAAAGAGTTAATTACACATCGTTCTCTCGATTTTAAACGATTTTAATTATAAGTTATAGAAATATTTAATTGTTGTTGTCGAATATATTCTTCCTTTTTACTTCTTTTCAAAGATATTTATTTTATCGTTAAATGTCTCGTATTGTTGATTGATAACATTAACCCTTGATTGATTTGATTTCAGGTCCATCCGGAGAGAACCGATCCGTACTCTTCTCCGATAATTTGCTGTTCGCATTGCCAATATCATTGAACCCAAGTACTCTGGAATGTTAACGAGGTAAAGTGCGCGTTTCTGTCTCTTCCTATCTCTTGTATGCAGTGAAACAGAAAGAAAGAAAGAAAGAAAGAAAGAAAGAAAGAGAGAGAGAGAGAGAGAGAGAGAGAGAGAGAGAGAGAGAGAGAGAGAGATACAATTATGCGAAGGATCTTGAATGGGTCTCGTGGTTTTGATAACGAAACTCTGACGAGGATATTAATGTTCACGAAAGAAAATGGTTTTAATAAGTTCGCCGACGTAATGAAAAGCATTCATATATAATAAAACTTTTTCTGCGGTTGGTGACGCTTTAATTGAACGGCGCTTCGTGTAAGGCAGGCAGGCAGGCAGGCAAGCCCTCGTCTGGGTTCATCTTTTCTTCTCTCTTTCTTTATTTCTTTCTTTCATTCTTTGATTCTTTTTCTCACTTTCTTTGCATATATATTTTCCTATGAATATATATATATATTTTTCTTTTACTAAAATGTAACACTATTAAAAGACGTTGAAAATGATTCTTCCTTTGAAATTGTAAGAGTAATTGAGAATTAATGAATTATTTTTTTAAGTATTCATTATGGAAAGTAACGTTATGATAAGTAAAAAAAAACAAACAAAATCCACTCAAAGTCCTACACGTTTATATTTAAATTTCATTTCAATATTTAAATCGTTTGGTTTTTTTGACATATACTAGCCACATAATTATATTTTAAATCTTTAGATTTAAATCTNTATTTTGTATCTTTAGTTATATAAATCGAATATGAGATAAATTTAAAAGATAAGAATAATGTCAAGTAAAAAATGATACGTCTAATAATAAATTACTTCAAAATCGAAGGTATTTAGATAACAATTGAAAAAAATCCATCAGAAACGTTATCGAGCGCGTTCAAGTGCAAAGATCTTTATATTTATTCATTTAATTTTAATTTAATTTAATTTAATTTAATTATTTATATTATGAACTGCTAAGGATAAATTGGATCGTACGAAGAAAAATATGATAAAGATTGATAGATTGAAAATTTTCATAGTTATTTTCGCAAATAAAGACAATTGGTTCTCATTTCTTCGGTTTCATTTCGCAACCATCTGCGTTCGTCACGACAGCTGGCAAATTCATTAATTTTTCATTGACTTTTCTATCATATACATTTCACATATTTGGATAATTTGAAAATAGTTGAATAAATGGTTTATGTATTGTGATGGTAATATTTGTGCAAAATGAACGATCAATAATCTTTTGCTACATTCTATATAGAAATTTTCAATTAATAGTCTTTTTACCATTTATACCCTTCAGAGAATTTATTATTAATAGATTATTTTTGTAATCACTCGAACAACGAATCAAAGTAATTAATATTCTATTTGTTACTCATGTTACATTTGGTTTACAGATTTAAATGACGAATTTTACTAGACGGCTATTGTTCAATTACGTAAAAGTACAAATTAATTAAACTATCTTAATTATGTTAGTAATTAATTAATTTAACGTTCGTATGGTATGGATATTTACAACAACTTCTAAAATTAAAATAGACGCGTGTGCTAATTAGTCAAGTCAGGTTGAGAAAAAAAATACGTTATATAATATTTATTTTATATTTGTTATATTTCCTTTTTTACTTTTAATATCTATTACTCTCTTGTATATGATTACGTTACAATTTGATTATCTTCGTGGTACTTTTTTTTAACATTTTTTTTTATCTCTCAACGTGTTCGATGTTCACATTAAAGCATTGAAAACATCTATTTACTTAAAAAAAAGAATTTGTACAAGTTGCGTATTATCTGATTAGAAAGTCAATGATAAGAGATAAGAAGATAGGTTGATTTAGTTGCTGTACAAAATTCTTTTGTATCGTTGTAGAATATAATTAGAAGTCATTTGGAAATCACGGTATAAAGTCTTTTTGCTGTCTAATTTTCATTACTTCAAATTTCGTTCAAATAATAAAAAAAAAAGAAAAAGGTTATTATCAGGAGAGAAACGAGAGAATTTATTCAAGGCAAGTGTTTTAGTGTGTTTTCCTTTTGTAAATTTGCTAAGAAATTTTTAGAATATGCCCCGAGTGCTTTCTCGCGACTTTGAACTTTATATTTAAATCGCTTTACTGTTAAAGTAATTAAAGTAAATATCTTTTTTTTTCTTTTCTTTTTATATATATTTTTTCTTCTCTTTTCTTTTAATTTATTTAATGCATTTTTGCGTCCGTCGAATATTGAAATAAACGACCAGCTCGGAACTTGATCGACCAATAATATTGCTAAGAACTTTTCTCTCTTATAAATGATAATATGATTGAATTTTCTTATTAACATTTATCCGAGCCTTTAATTTATATTTTCCTTCTTTAGAATGTTTGTAAATTTATTTAAAAAAATTTTTCTTTTGTCTTAAAAGAAAATAGATCGACTCGAACGAGGAAATTTCATTAGTCAGTTAATAAATTAACCGTTATTTAGATACGAAAAATTTGTTTGTTTCACTTATTTACCGCGAATATTAGATCATTTATTTGCATAAATTCTATTATTATTAAAAAAATGTTACGAAAAACGGATTTCGGTGTGTTTTAAACTGGTGGAAAATAATATGAACGAGTAAAGAAAGAATTTCTTATTATTTCGTAAAAGGATATTTATTTATATGATAAATTCTCGTAGTAATATTGTAATAAAAATATATTGTAGCGATTTCGTTTAGAATTAGGTTACGATTAATAGAAAACAAGTAATATATACAGTTTGTTCGTAATATGTAAATATAAAACGCGACATAAACCGCGAGATTTTATCAAATATCTATTTACGGGGATAAATTTTCTCTACTCGTATTATAATTATTCATAAAAGTCGAATGATTTTAAAAGAATATCATTTTGATTAAATTTTTCTACAAAATTGCTATGAATAAATGATATCGCGAATAAAGGAAAGTCAAATACGTATTCTAGATAATGAAGACATATTCAGCGACGCGTAAATACGGTTAGCGATGAAAAGGAAAAAAAAGAACCAATTTAAATAAAGTTTAAATTTATCCGTAATAATTATAATACCGTATTTGAATCGACAATCATCGATAGCACAAGTATGTCATCGATAAGATGTTATATTTCTTACGCACTTTTCCAACTAAACGTTTTGCGTTTAGTTTAATGTATCACAACGATATTTCTTTGTTCGTTTGTCAAATCGTATATCAACAATTTGTATTCTTTATCTACGAAAAGATAACAAAAAAAAAAGAAATAAAAAAGGAATGGGGAAGAAGGGAGATAGTAGTCACGTTTACGTGGAAATAAATTCACGACTCGTCTTGATATGTCGCGTAGTTAAAGTTAAATCCATTTAAAAAAGTCTTCCTTTAAAAATGAAAATTAAGCGACTCTGAGCGTGAGAGAGAGTCGTATTAGTAGCGTTAAAAAGGAATGAAAGAAAAGCGTCGGACGCTTTTTGAATTATGAAAGCGGAACACCTATATCACATTCGTGAAAACGTTTTCTCTCATTTTGCAAATGGCTTCCGGAGTCTTTAGTAGTTTGGTACATTCGTAAGGCAGGACAATGTAGCCAGCGGCATGTAAGTCCTGTGGAAAGGATCCATGTCTCTGAAACAGCCGTTTCTTCTTTCATTTCTCCTCGAATCGCATCACTCGTGCTACTCGAGACAAATTCTTTTTTTCTTCTTTCTTTTTTTTCTTTCTTTTTTTTCTTTCTTGTCTTTTATCACTCGAGAGAGTGAGAGTTTCGTATTCTAATTCCACTCCCTCGATGTTTTCTTTCCGACGGGTAGTAACTCTCTTCGTTTTTAAGCTTTGCTTCTTTTTTTTTTCTTTCTTTCTTTTTGTTTTAATAAAAATTTCAGTGTTTTCGTCCCCTCATTTTTTTTTCTTCTTTCTTTCAATAATGTCATTTATATTATTGAAAAAAAAAACAAAACACTATTCCGTTGTCATTTTAACGCACTTAAGCGGGTAGTATTAAATTATCCTTTGAACCCTTTATTTTGCGAATTATTTCTTGTGAAAAAGAACCCGTATAATAATTTAAATCCAAATAAAATGAAAGCAAGAAAACGAATACCTGTGTGTATGTACGTATACATTTTTTTATAGAACCACGAGTCGTCCGGAAAACGATAACTTCTATAATACTAACGTCGTTAAGTATACAATTTAATTTGTCATCTTCGAGGAAAAAGTTGAAACTTCCATTTTTCTTCGTTTTTAAAATGACAGGGAAATTGTTAGGATTGAGAGTAACGATCGTGGTGGTAGTATACCTGGGAGGTACGTAAAAACGCATAACACTCATGCTTTTTTCACGTTATTTTATTGTCATTCTTAGTAGAAAAGGTTTTTCTCCTAACGATTTCCGAGTTTAATATAAAACGTACGAGCGCTTTCAAAAAGCTTTTGAAAATCTTTATAAAAGGGTTACAGAATAAGTGACTCTTTCATTTACGTACAAATATTTCTTAATATCAAACAATTTTTCTTTTTTTTCTTTTTCCCTGTAAACGTAGAATTTCAATTCTTACCTAATGCATATGCTATTGTAAATTTTTCAAAGATAACGAATAATCTATTCAAGAAAATTATATATATATTTATAAATTATAATATATTAAGCTAGCTATATATAGTATGCATGAAAATAAGAATAAAATTTTACATAAACATAGGTCATTTAAAGTTTCATAAAAAAGAAAAAGAAAAGAAGAATTAGAGAACCGTTAATAAATCCATAGAAAATATGTTTTTTATGTAAACAAGGAGGAAAAATTTGTTGATATTAAACAAATCAAAATTAAAAATTTTAATTAACAATTATAAATTATGATTCAGCTTAATATAAAATAATAAATTTGTACATCAAATTTATGATTCTCATAACAGAGACGTGAATAGTTGTTTGCGGATAAATCTCTAACAATTTTAAAAAGTTGAGAAAAGAAAAAACTAGAGAGAAAAATCCAGAGGGAGAGAGAGAGAAAGA